ATTGTTGCAACAATAGTATGATTGAATATAGATACTAACTTTAGGTGATTTGGTGTGAAAGTCTGGAGCGCATGTAAACAAAAGCATGTGTGTTAAATGCATGAAGAAGTGTTATTTGTTCCTTTAATGTCTGTCTTTGTTTTCCCATTACTACTCAGGAAAAATCATTATCAATTTAGAAAAAGATAAAACCAAAACCTACTAACAGTACATGGAAGATTTTATCGTTTAATTGTTATTGCATCTAATAAAAATATTCCATTTTTCAGTAACACTGAGGTTGTTCCATATTTTAAATAATCACAGAAGGAACTGGAATTTTTCAAGATATAGTATTTTTACTTTTGATACTAGCAGATTTTTTACAAAATAATACAACTGTTAACCTCATTTTTAAACACCTTTTTGCTTCCTGGATATTGTCTCGGTGTGCTTATCAGATGATATCATAAATGTCATAGTGTTAAGTAAAAGTCTACTTAATCCGTTATATGTTCATGTTGATTTTTTTATTATATCAAATTTTTCAGCCTTTGTTTCCAATATTTTTCACTTTTTGTTCTCTTTTTAGTTTTACTTGTACCTATAAGGAGAATGCGTTGAATCTGTGTCCTAAACTTGAATAATCATATTGAACTAACCACATTACTCTGTCTAGATGAGACCTATTCATTTAAGGAAAGTAGAACCTTATTTGTCTGCAAATGAATGCAAACCAAAGCATTGTGCAAACAGTACAGTAACAAATTATTCCTCCTCTTTGATTTATGGCATATATTCTAAAAGATGCATTAAGCACCGATGTGCTTTTTTATTTTGTTTTCGTTCTATTTTGCTATCCGCTAATGTCATTTTGGAGTAATCTTTTGATCTGTCAGACTAGCGCATAAATAAAGTATGCATGTTATTTTTCCACAAGTAAACTTCCTGGCAGCTGTAATTTTTTTGATGCATATATAGACACATAGATGCCAGGAATTGCAAGCACAATATTCTCCAGGAAATGTACTTTTTGATTACTGGCAAGAAATATGTGGATGATTAGATGCTCTGCTTTAATCATGAAGAGTTGGAACATAGGGTCATGTTCTTGATTTGCAGAGAGGAAGAGTTGAGAAATGGTTCTGGGTAAGGGAGTGATTCAGGGGCTGATCATTCTTGAATCCATTGTTAAATTTAAATCTCTGGTTGCTAGTTTTGATTTTGTTTTGTTCTTGTATGTCTGTCAACACGAAGCACTGACAGTGTTTCAACTTCAACTTCTTTTCCCATTAAAATCTGCACTAGGGTCTCTGAAGGATGGACAGAAGGGAACACGAAAGTGTTAATATTACCCTATTTGCTCTAAATAGTAATTCCTCTACTCAATATTTATGAGAATTTTCAGCTTTTGGGAAATTAATTTATTGTTATTACCTTTGCATAGTTGGAAGTAACAGTAGGGAAGCCTCCAGGGCCCTGCCTCACCAGTGCGGGTCTGGCTACAAGGAACATATTTCCCGCATTATTCAGCCAGCCTCCAGCAATTCTTGGGTTAGAGGCTTGTTAAGCCAGAGGTGATGTATTAGTGGATATATTTTTCTTTTTCCTGGTGAATTTGTCTAATCTCTTATTCATCTCAGGTCAAGTTCGGACATCCAGCACATCCTGTGTCAGTTTTCTGATGTGCTACAAGGAAAATTACTTCCTCTTAATAGTTTTGAATTACCTTCCTTATAATTTAATTTGATGCCCTCTGTTCTTGCATGAAAAACAGCAGTGTAGGGAGTGAAGAATATTCCTTAATCTCTTTCTCGGTCCCAGCCGTGATTCTGAGCTCTGTCAGAACACTTTTCTGGGCATCCGTCTCCTCAGCCGAGAAGTTTTAGTCTATTTAGTAACTGCTGACAGAGAAATTTTTCCCATCCTGTTGCCATTTTATGCTCCGTTCACTCCTTCGTTGTTTGACCTGCTCAGCTAGCTTGAGGACCTCGGTAATTATGTGAGTGTGGAGTACAGTGTAGACCAACAGCTCCACTATTTATCCATCAGCTCGTATGTGCTTTGCAGTCCTTGCTAAAATCATGGTTTTGTAGTGATGCTGCTAATATTCCAGATGATTAGTTTTTAAAAATCGCCCTGGGGATTCGTGGGTTAGTTTCAGTTTCATGGTAGTGTTTTAGTAGATGATGACTTGGTGCTAAAGAAATAATACCGCTGACTAGGTCAAAGTCACATTTGAACAACTGGCTTGATTGGGAAGAGAAGGAAGGAAGGAGAGACAGGAAGAAAAACTTGTGTTAGAATATGCTTGTGCAAATAAAAATGCAGGTGGTGTTCCAGTAAGGAAGTGCAGTGAAGGAAGGGCTTGGAAGGAAGGCTTGGAAGAGATGGTGGTTCCTTTCAAACAAATGACTGCAAAACAGGTGCGCTGGCTCAGTTTATGCCATTTTAATGATAACATTTCCCTCCTTAGTTCTCAAACTATCAGGTGCGAAAGGTTTGGTCCTAACAATGCTAATGAAACTGGTTTGTGCTTTTTACTGTAATTCCACTTTGGGTTTCTGAATTAATTTTATTGCTGAACTGGAGAGGAAAACAAAGCAGAGAAAATGATGAATTCAATTTTCGCTGCCTCAATTGGCTAGTGAAAGCAGCTTGTTGATTACAACAGGGAGAAATGTTTACTGCTGATCAACTTGCTCTGTATAGAGGGCTCTTATACTGAAATTAATTATAAATACAAGGTATAGAAGCTGCATAATTTGACTAGGTAAAAAAATATTATTTTCGTTTGTACCACAGTAGTATTTACACCGTTGATGATTTAGATTAACACCAAAGTTGCAGATACTTTTCTGTCTTTGCTAATGAACATTTTAATTCTTTTCTTTGGAAACTTCACTTTATGCAACAATTCCATTTTATGGTGCTGTTAAACTTTTCTGTAAACCAGCATTCAGCTTCAACAGTGGCTGTGCAGAGATGCTAGAAAATGGATCAGAATCAATGATGGCTTGATATAATGTTGCCTTAAGTTGGCTGTCATCCAAACTGAACACCCTTGTTAACTCTCTCCATCTTTGTAGCATCTTTGTTTGTTTTTGTCACATGCATTTCTACAGGGATGATGCTATGCATTTAAAAGATTTAATTAAATCTATCATATGTTAGTAAAATATTGCAAGGCAAGAGAGACAGTCACTGCCTTGGCTCCCACCTTGCCCTAGATCCCTCTGGTATAACAGTGCTCATCTGTCACACGCATCAGTTGGTGAATACTTGGGATCCTTCAGCATGGTCTAGATGGGAGCTAATTCAGCACATTCCTTCAAGAACCAGCCAACTGGACACTGCATCCGGCAGGAATCACTGCATCAAGAATGCTTCCTTCTCCTTTTTCTATTTTAAACAGCTCAGTGATTGAATTTGACTGCAATGAAAAAAAGAAAAAAACAACCCCCAGTAATTTATTTTAATGTGATCTTTTGTATAGTGCTTTTTTTTTTTAGTGCAGAAGCTGCCATTGTTTTACATAAAATCTAGCAACAACGGTTTTATAGCGAGAGATAAGATCTAGTCTGATAAGATCCTTGGAAATTATAGTTTGTTCTTTCAGTTCAGCTGAAGTTCTTAATAAAATCAAATTTGTGGTCTACCATTTTTCACATAACCAAGTCAATGAACACTATTATATTAACAAAGGTTCTGGTCAATAAAAAAAAATAAATGCTGAACTCCTTATTTTTCTATCTATTTATTATATAAATGAGGAATTTGAGGTGCTTGAAGTATTTTACTTGGAGGTACTCAGTCTGTGGTTAAACTATAAATATATCTGAGATTATTCCACTTTATTTCTTATTACATTTTGATTGAGATTCCCCGGACATTTTTATTTTTATTTTGCCACTCTACTTACTTTTGTTTTGATCATATAAAAATGTGCTCCATACATGTCAGATACAAATAACCCAGCTGCTATCCTGAAGTGCAAGTTGTACACACAAAAGATGTGGGAGAGTGTAGGCATGAGTACTGTTGAAATACTGTTGAAGACAGTCACTAGAAACCAAAGACTAGCGATACTAGAGTAAGTGATCAGGGGATGAGAAATTGTGGAGCTGAAGAGTAAAGAAAAATAAATAAGGGCCACGGCCTGTGCCACCACCTTTTGTGGTGGCCTGTCCCCATTATCAGGTTCAACCCATGCTGGGAACGAAGCTGCAGGGCTTCAGCCGCATGAGCAATGTGCTTGAGGATATGGTTGCCATTTCAGTGTTTATGAGTTTATTGTAACTTCCTCAGCTAAATATTAGGAGTGAGTAAATCCAATAAAAAAATAACGTGTGAATTAGATTGCCTGTGCTTAACTTTGTCACTTGAGTATTGAAAGAGAGAAATATACTGCTTAAGTTATTCTGTGAGACAGACTGTGCAGCTATAGTGCTAAAGAAAATCTATTAACTTTGGCACCTCCTTAAATACCCCTATACTTTGTGTATATGAAAACACAGTAGCACTCATATTTGCTAAAATAAAAGCCATGCTGCTTTGTGAAGAGGCCTGAAAAGGGCACTGTTGATTCTGGTTTTTGCTCACTGAAACAGCTGAAGTTAAGGATTATTTCTCATAATTGGTTTTACTTAACTATTGAAAGCATAATACATTTGTATATTAATAGTATACTAATATATTAAGACATACTATAGTTATAGTTAACTATAGTTAACAAAACATTAGATACTTTAGATAATGAATCATACTATAGTAACTTAAGAGATACGGAAAAAAGATTTCTTTCTGTTTATTAACATTATTTTAACTAGTCTCTAATCGAAATAAGTGCTTCTTTGAGATATATATATATAAATACATATTGTTATTTATATATTACCAAAATTCCAGTGATAATACAATAGACATACATGATGTTATCGACGTAATTGTCACAGGAAAATCAATTGAAACAATTGTTCTTTCTGTCATTGTGGTATTGACTTTCTGAGTATCTTTCTCAGATTTGGAGATGGCTATTCCATCAAGGTTTGGCTTAACAAAGAAATAAACTATGGAAGAGTCATTTTGGACTGTCTGCAACTACATTTTCCTGGAACACATTTTAAGGTAGAGGAAAAACTTTTCATCATAGTAATTATTCTATGGCAGAATTAAATATGAGAAAATGAGAATAAAAGGGATATTTCTAATACATTATTTGGTCTTTTTTTTCTGAAAAAGTATATATGTTTATTAAAAAATATAAAAAAGTATATATGGTTATATAAAAAAGTATATAAGTATATATATACTTTCTTGCTCAGCAATTCATTTAGATCTGACTTGTGATGTTGATGAAGTTGTACCATCCAAGTCCAAATAGCCTTTTTATAAGCAAACAACTCTTTTCTTTGAGTCGTAATTTTCTTTTGCTTTAATTGTTGAACTGGTTGGACTTTCCTTTGTATTAACCTGAAGTAGGAATGCACTGCAGTCACTAAGAGTATTGGCTTTGGTAGCAATTGGTTTTCCAATAAGTTCATCATGCTTTTTGCTGAGATTGTTTTATTTGATATGGAGCTGGTAATCAGTGGTAATCAGATTCTGAGGAAGACTCTCGAATGCTGTGAGCTCATCTTTTTTCTTGTTCCATTTTTTTTTTGGGGGGGGGAGGGAGGGGTGTGGGAGGTTGTTCCCCTCTATTGGTTTTTAGGATTAAAATTATGTAAGCTTATGACTATTTTTAATAAATGTCTGTCCGAGTATAAGTATAAATATATATGTGTGTTTTCATGCATTTATAAGTATATGATACACACACAAATGCATACTTCGTGTATAAGTGTACAGTAGATATGTACTTACATATATATATATATATATATAAAAATACATACAGAATGTTTCAGAATAAATACTCAACATAGCAGTTAGGGCTTTTTTTGGTCAGGAAGCTTACCAGCAAATGCATAGAATTTAAAATAGGATTCTCTTTAAGCTGAAATATAGTTTAAAAGGAAGAGACGAAAGGGCATCCTACTAAAGAGATTACACTTCTTAAATATCCTTTAAATCTTATCCCGTGGCCATATCATTTGTTTTCTTTTTGTGTTTTTCTGAGGTAGTTCAATTCAAGGATCAGAAGCAATCTTATCATGTGTAAAAGCTGAAATAAGGTATATGGAGATATGCAGAGATTTTCTTAGATTCAAGTTTCTTGTTCACATAACGATGTGGGAATCCAGTATTTTTTCTCTTTGCAAAATATATGATTATGTATATTTAAAGTGCATTTATGTACAACATTTTGATAAATATGATTAACTTCGCTTCATTATCTCATGTTTTTACAGACGGGGGTAACTCAGGTAGATTAAAAACCTATTGTATAAAACTGTCCTAAATTTATACATCTAACAAAGTGTTATTTCAGAAACATAGAAAATGTGTGTTTTCTGGGTATGAACAGCAAGCATTATTGTGCTGCTAATGTAAACAAAATTTTGTTCTTGATTTAAAAAAAAAAAAAAAAAAATCCTACAGTGAAGCTGCTTACTGAAACCAGTTTAGTTATGAAGTGTTTTTTCATCATCATCAACATGCATTCATTTGTATCTCTTTTGGTTGTTTTTGCACATTTCAAGGGACAGCATCTTAATGTGCTGGAGTACCACGTACCACGAAGTCCGGGCTGCCTAGCAGAACTCTTCAGAGTCCTGGAGATTCACAAAGCTTTTCTCCAAATCAAACACTACTCCATCAGCCAAACCACTTTAGAGCAGGTACTGTTTCTTTTCTTTTTTTAAACCTACTGGGTTAATGTGAGTATATATTGCAGCAGAATATTGATTTGATGGAACTAATTAAATATTTGTGATAAACCAGTAATTCCAGGACAGCTCAGGCATATACAGTAATTTTGTGAACCCTGACACTTTTACACTGGAGAAAACTGGAGTGAGCAGTTAAAAGCTCACATATTAGTAATATGCTCAGGCTTGGTCCGTACTTAGATGCATCTAGACCTGTGGAATCTGAGAGTGTTGGACTGTGAACTGCCTCATAAGCATTTGAAAAGCTAGGATACTCTCAGTGTCCTTGAAATGGCAGAACCATTCTTTTTAAGTTACAATAAAGTTTAAATTTACAGGATATTTTCACAGAGTCACAGAATGACTGAGGTTGGAAGGGACCTCTGGAGATTACCTAGTCCAATACCTTTCCCTTGGTGCCTTTCTTCTGCCATAAATATTGTACTGCCCGTTATGGCACATTGGGAATGCACAAGTAGACAGAAGAGCCCACAACTAATGGCTGTGAAATCCTGTTTGGACACAAGGTAGAACAAAATGATGGCAATGGTGTGTTTCCTAGGTAGCTGTGGTGTGCTACAGCATCTTTGTATGCAAATTTTCACTCAGTATTCTGGAAACTGAAGGGGTGGCATCTGGTCAAAATATTAATTATATGTGATGTATGGTATGTACTTGCTCCTTTGTCCCATGTGCAAATCATTAATGAAATATTGTGGTTTGTATTAATCTGTGAATTGCCTGTAAACAAAGTTTACACTGAATGGCTCTATGTAAGGTAATTTCAGTTTAAGGATTGTTCCTAAATTGTTCACTCAAGCTATTTTTCTCTCTGTTATTCTTGATGATTCATCACCTCAGTCACCTACTATCATTTCTGCTCCCTGAGTAGCTGAGTGTCTGTTTTAGACGGGAAAATAGTTTTTCTGAATAACAAACACACTTGTGATGCATCCTAAGTTTGTTTGCATATGAATATGATTGTTTGATTTAGTCTAGTCATCTTTTCTTCTTTCCTTGCTGTCAAATAGATCTGTGATTAAAAAGCAAACAAGCCTTTTTGTAGTAAGATCTGTTTTAAAAAATATAGATGTATATATTTTAAGGAGGCACAGAGGCACCTGAACTGCAGGATTTGCTGTACAGGGTTCAGAAGTATACTTTCACCTGTAAATATCTGGACTCTCATCTGTAGAATGGTGACTGCCGTTCAGCTCACATTCCTCCTGTCAGTCATTTCAATACAAAGAAAATGATTGTTACCCCATAACTGGTGTAACAGTAAAACAGCTTTTTTGAATATTTTTTACCATGTTCTTGTATTTCATCAACCACTGCATCCACTGGAGAGGTGAAGAGTGATTATTTATAGAGTTGACAAAACATGATTCTAGAGGTGTTCCATTGACGTAAATTCTACTCTTCTTTTTTTTTTTTTTTCTTTCATGAGGAAAGCTTAGAAAAACACCCTAAGGAAATCTCTAGCCATGTCTCCAGAGTATCAGTTCAAATACTATCATTTTGTCATTCCTGCTTTTTTGTGTCTTTCAGGTGTTTATTAATTTTGCCACACAACAGCAAGGAGCCACACATCCTACACAAGAATCTCCCACTGTTCTTCGTGACTGTCTGCCAGTCTAGGTTCAGAAAATAATACAGAAAAGCTGCATAATACGTGTATGCATATATGTAATAAATTCTTTCAGCTTTCACCAGCTGGTCTGTGAAAAGCATAAGAAGGTGAAATGAGCAGAACGGAGGTGAGTTTACATCTGTAGGTCAGAAGTGCTAGTAGTAAAACAAAGAATAGTTGCACACAGACCAAAAGAGACCACCAAAAAGTAATGCTATTTAGTAAAGGAGAATTTAATACTACACACTGCCTAATGAATGCAAATCTATGTAACAAAAAACGGCTGATCTCTAATGTCACTGTGTATAGTAGATTTTTTCTGTGGTGGGTCTATATTCATGACTGCTGTAATTTTCTCTTGCATGCACACTTAATATCTGTAATTTTTACATGACGAGGCAAGAAAAACCCTTTGAATGCTAGAAAGAACTAGGTTATCACCTAATATTTGTATTTAATAGCACAAATGAGAGCCTTTTGACTTCCACATTTATTCAATTCTGTGTTGTGACAAGCTAAATTAGCCATTTTTATCCTATAAAGGATGCACTATATTCCATAAGGGTTCATGTTAAAGAGGGTATTAGTGTACTAGTCTGTCTCTGAGTTATGTTAAGTAAATTTAACAAGGTTTCATAAATCATACTTGACAATGCTTGCTGGTTGCTCCTTTATGCTTGCTGGTTGCTGCTGGAGGAATGCTTAAGCATCTTTTTAATGACCTGTGTCATTTTCTTAGAGTTATCTTTCTTTTTTTCCTAGAAGAATGCCAAGATTATGTTTAAGGGGCATGTTGAAAGAAAGTGAAATAAGAATTCACACACTGATCTATAAATTTTTTAATAAATGTATATTATGATGTTAGTTCAGATGAAGCCATGCCACAACCTTCAGGCTACACATGTTTATGAAGTGAGCATTTAATGAATAAATCAGCTTGTTTTGTGGTGGGGGGAAAAAATGAATGTTCTGTGGTAAACTACTGACTCTTCCAAAACAGGTCCTTTGGGAACCCTATAAAAGACAGCTGATACCACTTTTATTGCACTTTATTATCTAATAGTTGAAATAATAGAATATGTGATTTAAATGTGTACTCTTACAATATAATCCCTGTGAAAATCAAATGAGTGTACTTTGAGATTAAAAAAAAAATCTAAAATTATCATTTTTTTAGAGTACCGCTGCTATAATGCTCTGCTGTATGAAGATGAAACATTAAAAATTATATTCTTTTGGCTTTGCAGACTGACTCGGCTGTTCTTTTAGGCTTTATTTGTTGGAGATTTGACCCATCATGCTTTCTAACGTCAAAGTTCATGTTACTTATTTCTAAAAGGTGAAATTAAACCCTATAAGCTGGAGAAAGTTTTTAAAAAAAATTTACAGACTTGATATACACTATGTATATGGAACAGAGTGAGATTATGAAGTTGCTTTGTCGCTGAAATAGCTCAGTATCATAGAGTGTGCGGCATGATGTCAGAGCTGTGCCGTGCTGCTCAGCATCAAAAGCACCGAAAAGCCACTTAATAGCCCTACCAGTCACCATCCAAGCGGAAATACCCTGGGGAAATGGGATGGTTGTGTTCTTGGTGTAATCAGTTCTCTTTAATTTCTGCAGGAGGCTGGTAGTAGGAAGCGAACAAAAAACATAAGTCTTAAAGCAGAGTGTGAAGGAAGCAGGGGGAGAAAGAAAGAGAAGGCAGTTTCAGGAAACGTGAGCAAGACCCAGAGTATGCTCTCATAGAAGTGTCCTGCTCAGCATCTTGCAGTGAAAGAAAAGGAATATAAGAGGGACAGAGTTACAGTCTAAACGACTTGATAGGAGAATGTTCTTGGAGTTCTTACTTGGATAATGAAAAAAAAAACAATTGGGGAGGGAGAGAGGGGGAGGAGGGAAAGTATGTTAAGCAAGCACATAGAGCTTTATTATATCTAGATCTGTAAAATGTTGATGTTATGATACTGCCTTTCTTTGATTTTTTTTTTTTTCCCCCCCTCAACAAACTCTAGTGTCTGTCTTCAAGCACCACAGTTTCCTAAAGAAATGAGCTGCCAACCCAGAATGCTTAGCGAGGGTCTGTTCTGAGCCGCTAGGAAATCTGAGTGAGGATGGATTTAAGGAGATAGTGCCACTTCTTGGGGATATGAGAGAGCCGAGCCAAAAGGCCCCTGTTTTGTGGAATTGGGGCAAGAGTGCCAATTTCTGCTTAGGAAACGTGCCAGGCAGATGAATTTGTAAACCAGTGCTACAGCTTGCTTAGACCAAGAAAAGCATTCTAGCATACAAGACTCACTGTGGTGAGACTGCAAAAGAGTGGCCAAGCTGGATCTCAGCTGAGGCAGGCTTTCCACAATTTGGCTGTGTGAGAATAATAAAATGACTTTTTTTTTCCCCTATCTGATTAAGATGTGAAAGATTGTATTAGTGTAATAGATGAATAAAGTAAATAAGGTTTGCTTAAGACTGATGGGTGAGTTCAGTTAACAATGTTTTCTTCTTTTAAATTGCTTCATATGTATCTCAAGAGACCCAATTTAATTCAGGCAAGTAGCAAACAATGTCTTTCTCCCAGTCCATTATGGTTGAAGAAGGTCAAAATCTAATTGAGTTCCAGGGTATTGGGTTCTGTCTCAGAGGACATTTTCTCACTCTTTGAATTCCAGAATTATGTACACTTGAAGACTAGACTTCTGAAGATTTTTTTTTAATTAAAAAGGAAAAAAAAATCTACAGTGGAAATCTGGACAGAAAAGGACATATATTAATGATGAGAGCCTTGAATTCATAAATTAGACATTTTTCTTTCTAACATCTGGATTTTGAATCAAAGACAGATGAGGATTGTAAACAATAGCTTCTTTTTGTTTCATCTCACCTGAAAATTTTCTCGGCATGGAAGTGTTCCTTTGCTTCAAAGGATACAACAGAATCAGAAAAAAATGTGACTTAGGTGGTGGAATGTCCCTTCAAAGCAGGAAATTCCTCTCCCGTTTTTCATCATTAAGCATTTTAGATATTCAGTTGATTTTCTGATTTTATAGTTCTAAGTTACAAGAAAGGCTTTTGCCAACCATGATGTTGGGAATGTTTCAACCCCTGAATATAATCATAATATAATATAATTATAGAGTGAGGTCAGCAAAACCTGTAGATCAGAACCCTAACTCAATGGACTGTATATTCAGTGGAGGTGGCGGCATAATGATAGGAGGAGGCAGGAAGGCAAATCCTGCTACATTTTAACCTTCTATATAGTTTTCTATCTGGAAAACAACTGACTACTTTCCCTAGTTTGGTTCATGCATGACCAGAGTTGATAAATTCCCCCAGGGCAGAGGAAAATGTGCAAAGTGATTTCTAGCAGAGAAGATGGGACCTTTGGAGTTTCTCTGTTCTTGCAAAATTTGCATAATTGGAGTCTGACGTTGGCTATGTTAAAAAATATGACTCTTGCTAGAACTATTCAACCCCTGTATCAGTCTAAACCTATTTTTTTTTTCTTTTTTTAAATATAGCTTTCCTGGTCTTTTCCTAGTAAGCAGTAAAATTGACAGTTTCTTTGATTCAATTGAATGTGGTTTAATCTTTCTATGCCAGCACTTGCATTTTTTCCCTTTTGAAGAATAAGGAGATCAAAGCTAGCAGTAAGAATATCTTTCTTTAAGTGATTGAGGCTGGCTAGGTCAGACAGCTTTCCTGAGACCTACATTAACCAAGGAGAAAATGCTTCCTGAGTTGCATGTTAGATACTTGCATTTCAAATAAAATGGATGCTGCAAGTTCAGTGAAAGTGAGCAGCAAGTGCAAAACAGAAGTCACAGCTATCTCGCTCTTGCAGAGGAAGCAACAGTCTGCTGCTTTCAGGAGGCAACCTTAACACTGAGGGGTTTAACACATGAACAGTCCATACTGAATAATGATATGGATCACTGGGGATATATCAAAGCATTTTTTCATCTTTATTAAATGTTAGTATCACAGTGAATATTGTCTCAGGATTGCTCTCATGCCTGTTGCTACATAAATATATATGGTGGGGCAAATTCTGTCTCCTTTACAATGGCCCTGTGAAAATCATACCTAGAGATCTGGGCACTTTAAAAGCTTGTGTGTATCCTTAAGCTTTGGTGGATAAAATAGGTGAATTTAGACAATAGAGTTCTAACAAAATGAAAGGTAAATGCAACATTTTAGAGGTTTTCTTTTTTTCCTTCCAAAAATTAAAAGATGGTTAGAGACGGTGCTTGCCAATGGTTAACTAGCCTCTGAGAATGGTTGTTACTGCCCCAGAGCTGAGCTTGTTTACCTGGTCACTGAGACTACCTCATTATTCCATTTTAGCAGTATTCTTTTTTTTTTTACTAACTTTGTGTTTTAGGTCAATTATTAGTGAAAGTTAATGCACATCATTGTATTTTCAAGATCATCTTTGCAAGCCCTGAAATTTTCTAGTTATTCAATAGCTAAATAACATTAAAGAATTAAAGAATTTTCCGTATTTAAAATGTCTTAAACTATACTATTTTTAGGAGGGTAATTAATGAATTATTGCATGTATATCATATAGACTTTGCACTTAGATCTAAGTATAAAAAAAAATGTCCACAGTTAAATATTTCTGATTGTGGAAAGGATAGAATTAGGTCTTTGCAATATGGACAGTTTCAGTTTTATACTTTTGATAATTATCTAAACCACTTCTATTATTCATGCTAATTGTAGAGAAAATGCAACAACTACTTTCCTCTTTAAATTTCCAAAACTTAAGAATTGTGATAGTTGTTGTGCTTGTTATCGTGAGATAGGAGGAGGAGTGGAAATGTTCTTCAGTGGATATGCTGTCTTGAGCCCTGCAGTGCCTTTAACTTCTGGGGAATGCAGAACTAACTACATAAAACAGCTGTATGTATTATTCAAAAAGTTTCATCAGAAATATGCACTATTACAAGACTTTGTAGTAGCTGTGATATATAATAGTTGCTTTATCTTTTTATCCATGTGCTTTTGCTCTTAGATGAATTCAAGACAATAGCCCAAAGAAACTTACCTTTTTTTCCCCCATTAGAAACTTTTTGTTGGAGATAAAGAGTTTGCTATACAGCACAGCTTCAGGTATAACATTTTTTAAAAAAAGTCTTACTCTTTTATGGTGCCAAAAAAAGGAGTGTTGGTTGGATGAAAAG